CAGGGCATAAGCTGCTCAGTGGTCTGGTGTTAAATTATGGTGAGGGTAGTTTTGTGGCAACTCTGTGAGGTTTGTTCTGACTGCAGGTGCGCTCCTCTTAGCTTTATCTCCTTGTTTTTTTTCTCATGAACTAGCTGACTTGTGATTTAGCTTGTTGCTCTCAGTGAAGAGGGGCACTGTTTTTAAGGCACCCTTAAGGTTGAACTTCCTCACACTCTGTTTCAAATACAGTCAGTTACTTTTGAAAGAGCTTCAGAGCCCTTACAGTCTGCTTGTCGTCCAGTGCAAACGCTCTGAGCCCCGTTCTGTTCCGGGCACAGGACTGGGCAGCAGCCTCTGGCTTGCTACTTCTGGGTTCCTATGAGCAAACCGGGGTGAGGATAGTGTGGCCCCAGCAATCTCAGTCTACCACCCTGTGGTAAAGCTTCTGTTTTATAGGTGGAGCCTGGGCGGAGGAAGGGAGCCTCTGCTCTCTTAGCCACAGTCACCAGGACTTGAGCCTCTTTAACTTGGAGTTGGAGGGGATGGAGTTGGATGCTGATGACGTACCTTTCTCTGTGAAAGGTACACAGTAAGCCTTGATTAAGAGCTGAGAGGGAGCTCTGTTCTGTGGGCCACACTACGTGGAATGGGGCTTCTGTCAACTGGAGCTGGGGCAAGGCAGGAAACAGGTTACGGCTCAGATGCCATAAACTGTCCCAATACCAAATTTTAGTAGATGTTCTCGAATAATATTTATTTTTTCAAATACAACCTTAGGACAATTTCCAGACTTTAAATGGTTGTGTTTTTAAAAATAGTTTTTGCCAATTTTGCTTGTATCACTGGAAGTGAAACTCTTCAAACTACTTAATTCTAAATATTCCTAAAGTTCAAAGATGTTTTCTCAGTAAGGAAATTACCATCCCGGGTAATCGACTATATTTTTTTCTTATCTTTTCTGAACAGAGGTTTTGATCAGACATGAAACCCAGAGCTGCCAATATCGGAGTAGTTTTTGCACTACCCTAACTCATACTAAACACTTTAGAATCACCGTATATATCATGAGCTAAAGATGTCATTTTCATGGTTTATTTACTTAGTGTCCTGCCACCCACAGAAATCTGCAGCTTCCCATCAGCATGTTTACTTGATTGGGTTTTGCAGTTCTTTGGGTCTATTGGTGTTTCTGATAGGACACTGGATATTTTTGTATTCTTTTATATTCTTAGAATCATGCAACTTACAGATATTTAAATCAATATGAAATTAAATTTTGAACTTTTAAATGGTTCCATCTGATCTCAAATTACATTTGATAAAAGAATTTTACTGATATCTATGCATTTCAGTCATATACAGAGTTTCACATAAAAAGTCAGAAACTTAAAATTTTAGAGGTTGAACGTTCTTCATTTTTTTTTTCTTGTATGGAATGAAGAATTCTTTCCAATGGTCACCCTTGATGTGGGTACCCTTGATATGCTTGTCAATATACCTAGCTCAGTTGATCACTCTGTCCTCTTTTCTGTGCTTACTTGTGTTTACTCTTTTTGTCACCACTGAATGACTCCCTTCCTAAAATCTGCTCACATTTCTGAGAGGGAATCCAGCGTAGGACAGTGATCACACCACATCATTTCATATGTCACTGGAAAGTATATTGGTTTTCCTTGAGTTAATCATCCATTTTAGTTTTGATGGTGGAGAAGGGAGTGGGGTCATGTTGTAAAACACATTTATACCTTTGTGTCAGATGATCGTGTAGATCAGGGCTGTCAAACTCATTTTCACGGGGGGCCATATCAGCCTCACGGTTGCCTTCAAATGGCCGAATGTAATTTTTGGACTGTATAAATGTAACTACTCCTTAACTGTTAAGAGAGAGCCTGGCACTGCTGCTGGGTAGAAACAAGGTGCCAGGCAGATAAAACAAGGAGGAGGGCCGGTTTAGCCCAAGGGTCTTGTGTTTGCCACCTGTGGTGTAGATAATTTGTTCAGCAGGAGTATAGGTTTGACAGTGTCTTGCAGAATGAGGTAGCTATATTGAACTAATTTACAAACACTCATTAATATAAGCATTTTTTTTTTACCTCAGGCTATAACACTGCATAAGCAATGTTACAGAAGGAGGAGATCATGGTCAGTTTTGTAGTAGTTAGTAGTTAGTATGCTGTTGGGAATTTCCTTTTTTCTCTTTTTCATTTTCTTTAATTTATTTATTTTTATTGATTATGCCATTACAGTTGTTCTATTCGCCACCTTCATTCCTCTCCCCCCTACACCCCCGTCCCCACCATTACCCCCCCTTTAGTTTATGACCATGTGTCACAAGTTCTTTAGATTCTGTATTTCCCATACTATTTTTGCCGCCCCCCATCTATTTTCTATCTACTGTCTATGCTACTTATTTTCTGTATCTTCTCCCCCCTTCTCCTCCTCCCACTCCCCTGTTGCTAACCCTCCTTGAGATCTTCATTTCTATGTTTCTACTCCTGATCTAGCTGTCTTTTCAGTTTGCTTTTGTTTTAGGTGTGGTTGTTAATAACTGTGAGTTCGCTGTCCTTTCACTGTTCATGTTTTTTTAACTTCTTTTTCTTAGATAAGTCCCTTTAACATTTCGTATAATAAGGTCTTGGTGATGATGAACTCTTTGAATTTGATCTTATCTGAGAAGCACTGTATCTGTCCATCCATTCTAAATGAAAGTTTTGCTGGATAGAGCAATCTTGGTTGTAGGTCTTTGGATTTCATGAGTTGGAATACCTCTTTCCAGCCCCTTCTTGCCTGTAAGGTCTCTTTTGAGAAATCTGCTGACAGTCTGATGGGGACTCCTTTGTAGGTGACTGTCCCCTTAGCTCTTGCTGCTTCTAGGATTCTCTCTTTCATTTTAATCTTGGCTAATGTAATGATGATGTGCCTTGGTGTGTTTCTTCTTGGGTCTAACTTCTTTGGGACTTTCTGAGCTTCCTGGATTTCCTGGAAGTCTATTGCCTTTGCCAGATTGGGGAAGTTCTCCTTTATTATTTATTCAAATAAGTTTTCCACTCATGGCTGTTCATCTTCCCCTTCTGGTACCCCTATAATTCAGATGTTGGAGCGTTTAAAGATGTCCTGGAGGTTCCTAAGACTCTCCTAATTTCTTTGAATTCTTGCTTCTTGACTCTTTTCTGTTTGGCCATTATTTGCTTTCTTCTGGTCCACTCCATTGATTTGAGTCCCAATTTCCTTTTCATTGCTATTGGTTTCCTGTGCAATTACATTCATTTCAATTAGTTTCGCCTTCATATGTTTCTCTAATTTGTGGCTATAATCAACCAGATCTGTGAGGATCCTGATCACCAGTGTTTTAAACTGTGCATCTGAGAGTTTTGCTATTTCTTCATTGCTTAGATTTATAGGCTCTGGGGCTTTGAGATCTTTTTGAGCCATTTTTGGTCTGTTTGCGCCCGCGCCTGTTAAGTACGAGGAGCGGAGCCTTGGACTCCCAGGTCGCTGGGTTGTGACGCTATATGTGGGGGCGTAGTCAGAGCCCTGAAATGGCGGCTCCCTGTGCTGTTTTGCACTACTGGGTGAGGAGCAGAACCTTAGGTGGTTCACCAGGGCTGGGCTACTCAGGTTGCTGGATTATGACGCTGTATGTGGAGGCGGGGTCAGAGCAGGGCAATGGCGGTGCCCTCCGATGCTGCTCGCCGCTGGGGCCTGCTGGGTCCCGTCCAATCGCCCACTCCCTCGCTGGTCTATCCACGCACGCATGCGCGACCACAGTCAACCCGCAGCCCCGCTCCCTCGCTGTTTCCCTGTGGTCGCTGGCTGAGTTGTCCACCAGGTCCAATCCTGCACCTGGATTCCGCGCGCCTGAGTCCATCTGACTGAGTTTTCCTGTGCTACCCTGCTCCACCAGCTGCTGGTTGCGCCCCTCTTACCAGTCAGGCTGAAGAATTTGTTGTTAACAGACTTCCGAAAAGTTCAATTTTCTGTGTTCCGACTATGTTTTCTGTTGCTAATATTTAGTTGTCTCTAAACTTGGTTGTGTGAGAAAGCACGGCGTCTCCACCTATGCCTCCATCTTGGCGGAAGTCCGGGGAATTCCCTTTTATGTAGCATTCACTTGTGTACTATTGTAATGTCCTATAACATCTGTCTGTAATAGTGATTTGTTGTGAAGATTTACTTCCATGATTTACTGTGTCTGGCTGCTTGCTAAATTTTGTGCTGTAAATGAACAAATCAAATGTAGGATGTAATGCTAAAATATCCATGTATGTTCCTGTCGTTTTGGGAAGGACACACAAGAAACTGGTCATCGGTTGCCCTTGGAGAAGAGAGACCCTAGGCTGGAGGACTCAGATAGGGAATGCACCCTTTCATTCCATCTGCGTTTTTAATGAGCATTAGTGTTTCTGAACCCGTAGTAGAGCACTAAGCAGTGGCACAAGGGAAAATAGTCAGATACTTCGTGGACATAATTCTTGCTAACTATAATTTTGGGGCTGCTGTTTGGGTTTCTTCTCACAATCATTAAGCTCTCCATGTTGACTGATGGCTAAATTTGATTAGAACACTGTTCTAGGCAATAAAAACATTGTTCTAATTTTTGTCATTATATTGTTCCCTCCAGCTTCAGATGATTTAGAAAAGTTGCTAGGTTTTTCTCTAATGTGAGATCTGTTCTTGATTTGGAATACAAGTTAGTAGAAGTATTGCTTCATTAATAAAGAGGCCACGGCAGTGCTTAGAAGTATTATTTTACTACAGATAACTAAGACAAGATTTTTTGAAGTACTTTGATTTGTATAAAAGGTAAAAAAAAAATTTACTCAAAGGTTTTTTCAAAGTCTTGTATCTAAAGTCTGGGAGACTATATTCGTGGTGTTTCATTTTAAAAGAATGCCTTTACCAAATGTCTTTATGAAATGAATTTGGGTTATGTTCAAGTTTTAGGTTATTGTTGTATCATTGTAGGCCTTTTTATTTAAACATTTACAGGCCTTTTTTTTTTCTTCGTGCCCTGTAAGTGGCCTCAGAAGGTGTCTTTGTGTCCATTTCTACCAGTGCATCCTTTGCACACACCTACTCACTTGTACATAATTCACCATTCAGCAGAGGTAAGATTTTGTAAAATACACAAGTTCAAATAGAGTATTAGTAGACAAGTAGAAACACACATATGAACATACTCATTCCTCCCAGCTCTTCAGCATTTCTGGAAGTAAATTTATGATAAATGCTTTTTTTGGGGAAAAATAGTTTTTTTTATATGCTATTTGGTAATGTAGTACCATATGCTTTGGAGATAGATAAAATGGTGTTATTTTATAAAAACTGTTTTGAATGGTATATAAATTTAGAACTCTAGTGATTTTGTGTGAAGGAAAAATGAGATTTTTTGTGAGTAAAAAGCTGGGAAAATCAGTGCTTTTGAAATTATGATTATAGCTTATGTTCATTGATGTCTTCTGTTAAAATAGAAATAAATCTCAGCATTTTATTTTCTTTTTATTTGTTAAATTATATTTTATTATGTTATTAGAGTTGTCCCATTTTTCCCCTTTATACCCCTCCACTCAATACCCCCCACTCCCTCAGGCAGTCCCCCCACCATTGTTCATGTCCATGGGTCAGCGTATAAGTTCTTTGACTACTCCATCCTATGCTGTACACCGCCATGGCTACTCTGTGACTACCTACTTGTATTTCTTAATCCCCTCACCTTTTTACCCTTTCCCCCATACATACCACCCATCTGGCAACCATTAAAACTCTCTCCATATCCATAATTCTGTCTCTGTTCTTGTTTGCTTAGTTTTTTAGATTCAGTTATTGATAGATATATATTTATTGCCATTTTACTTTTCATAGCTTTGATCTTTTTAAAAAAATAACTCCTTTTAACATTTAATATAATACTGGTTTGATGGTGATGAACTCCTTTAGCTTTTTCTTGTCTGGGAAACTTTATCTGTCCTTTGATTCTAAATGAGAGCTTTGCCGGGTAGAGTAATCTTGGTTGTAGGTCTGTGCTTTTCATCACTTTGAATATTTTGTGCCAGTCCCTTTTGGCCTACAGAGTTTCTGTTGAGAAATCAGCTGACAGTCTTATGGGAACTCCTTGTAGGTAACTATCTGCTTCTCTCTCACTGCCTTAATCTTTGGCATTTTAATTGTGATGTGTCTTGGTGTGGACCACTTTGAGGCCATCTTGTTTGGGACTCCTTGAGCTTCCTGGACCTATATGTCTATTTCCTTCTCTATATTAGGAAAATTTTCCATCAATAGCTTTCAAATAGTTTTTCAATTTTTTGCTCTCTCTCTTCTCCTTCTGGTACCTCTATAATGTGAATGCTTGTATGCTTGATGTTGTCCCAAAGGGCCCTTAAACTATCCTCATTTTTTTGCTTTCTTTTTTCTTTTTGCTCATGTGATTAGGTATTTTCTGTGTTCTTATTTCTCAAATTGTTGATTTGGTTATTTGCTTCATGTACTTCCTGTTGATTTTCTATAGTTTATTCCCCATTTCATTTATTGTATTTTTCATTTCTGATTGATTCTTCTTTTTTTTAAAGAATTTTTATGAGTTTACTTGAGCCACACTGATAATAATTGCCAAAACCTCAACATATGGAGAAAATGCTCTGGAAAGTGGCAGTTTTGCCTTTTTTGTTATACATTATGGTCAAAGGAGGAGGCATAAGGGGGTCGGTCACATGAAATGTGTTGGTGATAGATTGGGGAGTCAGGAAAAGCAAAGCAAGGAAATCTCTGGGATTGGGTAAAAAGTAAAATGATAGACGCATACTTCTTTTATGTAGGTAGGTACATGGTAGTTAAGTCAAAAATTATTGTGATAATAATAAAATGGGTGGATTTGTGGTCTCCAATAATAATGAGGGGATTTGTGGTCTCTGCTCTTGTGCATGGTTGTTCCTGAGCGGTTCAGAAAAAGGGAAGTTAACTGGACATTCCATAAATATGTTATCATAGTTGCAAAAAGATAACTAGGCTCAATTATGGTAAAGATTGACTTTGTTCGGAAAATTCTAGACTAGGACATAACTACCCACCATGAACTGCTTTTAGTTAAAAAGTTTTGATTCGGGACCATTTTATGTGGTTTCTTTAAGTCTCTGATTTGTAGACCTGCCACACAGGCCTCCCCTGAGCTTATCAGGTTTTGTATGTGGCTCCTTTTTGTCCGCACATCCCCTTTTGGTCTTAAATTAATCCAAAGGATGCATTTATGACCAGTCTTTTGGTTGGATAATGAGGTCCCATGGTGCTAGGAAGGCTCATTCCTAGGAAGTCTCAGCATTAGCATTTGTCTTGCTGAATGACCTTTGGGAATGGGGTAAGACTGTAACCTTGGAGGGAAGTCCAGGCTGAATTTTTTCTCCAAAGTGAGAGGCAGGCAAATGGGAGGCAGTCAGGTCTTAGGGGTTTTTAAAGGAAACCACTCTGGATTGTTTCTAACTTATAAGTTATTATGGTCCAATTTTTTTTTTTTTGCCTATCTCACTTTTCTATATTTTGTACTTAATATAAAAGTCATTTATTGTTTTAGGGCATACCATATATGTTTTCATTTTCATAATCCACCCATGAGATGGGTTCTATCTCCATTTTTGTTTCCTGTCTTCTTGTTGAAGGTCTCACTGAGATCATTGAGCATTTCTTGTAACCAATTTTTTAAACTCTACATCCTGTAGCTTGTCTCCATTTTGTTTAGTTCTCTTTTCTGGAGTTTCATTCTGTTCTTTCACTTGGGACATGTTTCTTTCTCTCTTCTTTTGGCAGCTTCCCTGTGTTTCTTTTTAGGTATTTTCTAGAGCTGCCACATCTCCTGGTCTAGGCAAAGTGGCCTATGTAGTAAGTGTCCCTTGGGGCCCAATGGTGCAGTCTCCCTGGTCACCTGAGCTGGGTGTTCTAGGTTTGTCTCTTGTGTGGATTGTGTGTGCCCTCCTGTTGTATTGGGCCTTGATTGCTGTTGACATGTCAGTCAGAGAGATTGATCCTCAGGCTGCTTGGTTGTAAGTTCTGGCCATTACCACAGTGGGAGAGCTTGTCTGTAGGGGCTAACCCTATGGAGCAGGATTTGCTTTAGCCGGGCTCTGGTGCCTGCTGAGTATGCCCTTTGGGTGTGTCATTTGTGGTGTGGTGGTGGTTGAGTGGTGCTCTGGTGTGGTCTGAAGCTGGCCACTGGGTGTGTCGGTTCTGGGGTTTCTTGGGACATGTAGGCCAAGGTCGCCTATTGTCTGAGGCCCTTTCATGTTGGGGACTGCTCTGTATGGTTTCTGAGACTGTATCCCTGCAAAAAAAAAATGTGTATTTTATAGAATGTGTTGTATATAAAGAGTTTTTAACTAATACTTTTCTATATTAGGAAGTATATATGTATATATGTAGTTGTAACTTTAAAAAAAATTTTTTTATTGATTATGCTGTTATAGTTGTTCTATTCCCCCCTTCATTCCCCTCCACCCTACCCCCACATCCCCACCATTACCCCCCTTTAGTTTATGACCATGTGTCTCAAGTTCTTTAGATTCTATATTTCCCATGCTATTCTTGCCCCTGCATCTATTTTCTATCTACTATCTATGCTACTTATTTTCTGTACCTTCTCCCCCCTTCTCCTCCTCCCACTCCCCTGTTGCTAATCCTCCTTGAGATATTTATTTCTATGTTTCCACTCCTGATCTAGCTGTCCTTTTAGTTTGCTTTTGTTTTAGGTGTGGTTGTTAATAACTGTGAGTTGCTGTCCTTTCACTGTTCATGTTTCTTTAACTTCTTTTTCTTAGATAAGTCCCTTTAACATTTCACACAGTAAGGGCTTGGTGATGATGAACTCCTTGAATTTGATCTTATCTGAGAAGCACTTTATCTGTCCTTCCATTCTAAATGAAAGTTTTGCTGGATAGAGCAATCTTGGTTGTAGGTCTTTGGATTTCATGACTTGGAATTCCTCTTTCCAGCCCCTTCTTGCCTGTAAGGTCTCTTTTGAGAAATCAGCTGACAGTCTGATGGGGACTCCTTTGTAGGTGACTGTCCCCTTAGCTCTTGCTGCTTCTAGGATTCTCTCCTTCATTTTAATTTTGGCTAATGTAATGATGATGTGCCTTGGTGTGTTCCTTCTTGGGTCCAACTTCTTTGGGACTCTCTGAGCTTCCCGTATTTCCTGGAAGTGTATTTCCTTTGCCAGATTGGGGAAATTCTCCTTTATTATTTGTTCAAATAAGTTTTCCACTGGTGGCTGTGCCTTTCCCCCTTCTGGTACCCCTATAATTCAATGTTGGAGCGTTTAAAAATGTCCTGGAGGTTCCTAAGACTCTCTTAATTTCTTTGAATTCTTGCTTCTTGACTCTTTTCTGTTTGGCCATTATTTGCTTTCTTCTGGTCCACTCCATTGATTTGAGACCCAGTTTCCTTTTCATCGCTATTGGTTTCCTGTGCAATTCCATTCATTTCAATTAGTTTCGCCTTCATATATTTGTCTAATTTGTGGCTATAATCAACCAATTCTGTGAGGATCCTGATCACCAGTGTTTTAAACTGTGCATCTGAGAGTTTTACTATTTCTTCATTGCTTAGATTTATAGGCTCTGGGGCTTTGAGATCTTCTTGAACCATTTTTAGTCTGTTCACACCCTTTAAGTGTGAGGAGCAGAGCCTTGGACTCCCAGGTCTCTGGGTTGTGACGTTGTAGTGGAGGCGGGGTCAGAGTGGGGAAATGGCGGCCCCCTCTGCTGTTTCTCCCCACTGGGTGAGGAGAAGAGCCTTAGGTTGTTCACCAGGGCAGGGCCACTTAGGTCGCTGTATTATGACGCTGCATGTGGAGGCCAGGTTAGAGCAGGGAAATGGCGGTGCCCTCCACCAGCGCTTGCTGCTGGGGCTGCTGGCTCTCGACCAAGCGCCCACTCCCTCGCTTGTTTATCTACACACGAATGCACGCCCACAGTCAACCCGCAGCCCTGCTCCCTTGCTATTTCCCCGCGATTGCTTGCTGAGTTGCCCACCAGGTCCAACCCTGGGCCTGGATTCCGCGCACCTGAGTCCATCTGACTGAGTTTTCCTGTGCTACCCCGCTCTGCCAGCTGCTGGTTTTGCCCCTCTTACTGGTCAGGCTGAAGAATTTGTTGTTATCAGACTTCCAAAAAGTTCAATTTTCTGTGTTCTGGCTGTGTTTTCTGTTGCTAATATTTAGTTGTCCCTAAACTTGGTTGTGTGAGGAAGCACAGCATCTCCACCTATGCCTCCATCTTGACGGAAGTCCTCTATATTTATTTTATACTTTGGGTTATGATCTGAATACTAGATTACTTTGTTGCTCACATTGTTCCAGTTGGGCCATTGAGAGCTCTTTACAATTGGCTTCCATGTGCCATGGACGTGCCCAGTTGTTTTGTTTTCTGAATGCTTCCTTGCCTTCTGGGCATAAAGATCTATGTGGTGATCTTCCAGTTTACATACTGGAAGATATGTACTGGAAATTTCCATTTTCATTATTTTAACAATGACTTATTATAATCTTATTTTGATCAGTAAATCTATATTTTAATTAAGATTTAATAAAAATAGATTTAATAAAGAAAATCTATATTTAATTAATTTTTTAACTGAAGGAAAGCCAAGTATCTCAGACGGTACCTCTACTAGCAGCATGCTTCCCCAGGACAAGAGTAAAGTCAAGACTGGTCATTGCTTCCGTGAAGGAAGGTAATTTAAAATAGCTTTTTCCACACAGATCTTACAAAAAATGACTTTTTGAAGCTTATTCTTTAGACCTAGAACATGATACATTGTTAAGTGGTCAAAAAATTTAAGTTCTGCCTTTTCTCTCAAATAATACAAGACAAAGCAAAACATAAGCAAAAATACCTTCCCAAACAGACCAAACTGGAGTAAACAAAGGAATGATGGCATTATCTGAATTCTGTACTAATATATATTTATTGAGCTTAAAAGGGCATGTATATTTACTGTTTATTTCATTTTTGTTCAGGATGGTAGGGTATTTGTATTAGTTTTAGTTTAGCTTTTTTGTGTTATCTATGATGAACATTAATATAAGTAAACTCATATCTATTTCTAGCCCATTAAAACTTTCTTAAGATGCAGTGACTAACTAGTACTATATTTACTATTGTAGTTATAGGCACACCATATATATTAAGGATAAAACACCTTCTTTTGCCATATTTAAAACATTATTTTTGATGAGACCCAGTATTTTTATGGTTGATATGTCTATTATACAGCAGCCATTAGTTGATATCTTCATTGACAAAGATATAGCATTCTTGGATCTTAGCTCACATTCTATTACAAACTTGTTATCATAAATAGGTACAAATATATATTATATATATATTAAATTTTTCTTCAAGTCTTTTTATACCTTTGAATCACCTTTGTTGCTTTTTTGTCCATTCAAAAAGCTTTTACAAATTACTTTGATCCTGTCTGCATAGTTAAATGTATTTTTAGATGCAAAATTTAATGTCTCTTGAAAATATGGAGATTTCTTTTTTCAGTTTACTTATGAAAATGCAAAGTAAGACTTGTTCTACTATGAAGCGTAGGGAATTGACCAAGCTTTTTCCTTTCTGTGTTATTTTAGCTTCCTTTATAGTTTAGCTTCATGTTATCTAAATAACATTATGTTAGAACTTTGTATAATCATTTTTTCTGTTCTCTAAAATTGTTGATTAGGCACAATTTTCTCATATGGAGTTTTCTGTTGTAGATTTTGTATCGCCTTGCCCGTAGAGGAGAAATTTGCTCTGGGCTTGGTGCTGCTATTGGGAATTTTGCCCTTTTGTTGAGCATGGAAATGAGGTTCAGAGCTCATCACATTGGGGGTAGCCACATCATTTACACTGTGACATCCCTTTCACTCTTTATAATGATAGTTTCTCTGTAATTCTTGGGTAGGTGTGATACATATAGGTGGAACCTGTTCCACCTAACCTGCCAACTTGAACCTTGGTTATTTTATTGGAAAAGTGTTGAGTATCTATGGTGGTAAAGTTGGAACATGTATGGCTATCTAACTCCTCCATGAATGTGTTTGAGGATGAGAACTTTGATACTGTTTCAAGTAGCTCATCCTGTTTGAGCCTACTCTATTAACTAGTTCAGTTTTTTCCCACAGTGACTAACATAGTGCTTACTCAGTAAATTATTATACACTGATGTATTTTTAACTAAAGCTCATTAAGATTATTGATTTAATATTAATGTGGTAATTATTAATTTAAGTTTTTCTTAGAGTATGTGGTATAGCCATAGGGAAATGATTATGAGACATATTAGTTTTGGTGTCCTTTGTAAGTAGAATTAAATACTTACTTTTAAGTTTTTGACTATGTAAGAAAACATTTGGGTTTTACATATCAACTGTGTATTCAGTGATTTTCTAAATTGATTTTTAAGTTGTAGAAATTGTTTTGTAGATTCCCTAGGTCTTTCTATGTAAGTATCATTATTATATGCAAATAGGGTCATTGATACTTCTTCCTTTCACATCTTTATAACATTTTTTCCTTGCCTTTTTGCAATAATTGGGGCCTTCAGTCTGAGGTATATTAGAAGTGGTGAAAGACAACATATTTACCTCTATCTCAGTCTCAAAGAACATTGTTAAATATGGTATCAGCAGTACATTTTTTTGTAGATGCCTTTTACTGGTTTGAAGGAGATGCTGTTTACTGTGCATTAAATGGCCCTTTAACTTGTCTCCTTTCCCCTCGAGCTTATTTTGTTTCCTGTACACAGAGGCTGTCCCATTTATTGTTACATCTCCAGTCCCAAAATGCTTTGTTATGTATTTTTACCTGTATTTCTGAATGAAGTTCAACAAGAATAGTAAGATTTTAAAAATATATATATTTTATTGATTATGACATTACAATTGTTCTGTTTCCCCCCTTCATTCCCCTCCACCCTGCACACCCCCTCCCCAACCTTTCCCCCCTTTAGTTTATGTCCACATGTCTCAAGTTCTCTAGATTCTATATTTCCCGTACTATTCTTGCCCTCCCCCTATCTATTTTCTACCTACCATTCATGCTACTTATTCTCTGTACCTTCTCCCCACTTCTCCTCCTCCCACTCCCCTGTTGCTAACCCTCCATGTGATCTTCATTTCTATGGTTCACTCCTGATCTATCTGTCCTCTTAGTTTGCTTTTGTTTTAGGTGTGGTTCTTAGTAACTGTGAGTTTGCTGTCCTTTCACTGTTCATCTTTTTTATCTTCTTTTTCTTAGGTAAGTCCCTTTAACATTTCATATAATAAGGGCTTGGTGATGATGAACTCCTTGAATTTGATCTTATCTGAGAAGCACTTTATCTGGCCTTCCATTCTAAATGAAAGCTTTGCTGGATAGAGCAATCTTGGTTGTAGGTCTTTGGATTTCCTGACTTGGAATACTTCTTTCCAGCCCCTTCTTGCCTGTAGGGTCTCTTTTGAGAAATCAGCTGACAGTCTGATGGGGACTCCTTTGTAGGTGACTGTCCCCTTAGCTCTTGCTGCTTCTAGGATTCTCTCCTTCATTTTAATCTTGGCTAATGTAATGATGATGTGCCTTGGTGTGTTTCTTCTTGGGTCCAACTTCTTTGGGACTCTCTGAGCTTCCTGGATTTCCTGGAAGTCTATTTCCTTTGCCAGATTGGGGAAATTCTCCTTTATTATTTGTTCAAATAAGTGTTCCACTTGTGGCTGTTCCTCTTCCCCTTCTGGTACCCCTATAATTTGGATGTTGGAATGTTTAAAGATGTCCTGGAGGTTCTTAAGGCTGTCCTCATATTTTTGGATTCTTGTTTCTTCATTCTTTTCTGTTTGGTCATTTTTTTCTTCCTTCTGGTCCACTCCCTTGGCTTGAGTCCCAGTTTCCTTTCCATCACTATTAGTTTCCTGTGCATTTCCCTTCATTTCAATTAGTTTAGCCTTCATTTGTTCCTCTAATCTGTGACTAAAATTGACCAGTTCTGTGAGGATCCTGATCACCAGTGTTTTGAACTGTGCATCTGATAGGTTGGCTATTTCTTGGTCACTTAGAGTTATTGGCTCTGGGACTTTGAATTCTTCTTGAGCCATGTTTTGGTCTGTTCGCGCCTGTTATGTATGAGGAGTGGAGCCCTAGATGTTCACCAGGGCAGGGCCACCCAGGTTGCTGGGTTGTGAGTTTGTATGTGGGAGTGGGGTCAAAGAGGGGCAATAGTGGTCCCCTCTACTGCTTCCCACCCCTGGGGCCTGCGCGGTCTGTCTTGCTGCTCGATTTTTTGCTGGTTTATCGATCTGGCTGAATGGTTCGTTGTTGTTGGACTTCTGTATAGGTCAATTTTCTGTGTTTTGGCTGCGTTTTTGTTACTAAAACTTTGTTGGCTTAATACTTGGTTGTGGGAGGAGGTACAGTGTTTCCATCTACACCTCCATCTTGGCGGAAGTCTAAGAATAATAAAACTTTTGTTAACCTATGAGGTTAAAAAGATTTCTTAAAAAAATCTTTTAGAGATCCTGAACTTTCAAGGGTTTGTCAGAATTCTGGTATGCTATTATTATATCCAGGGGCTGAAGCTGCTAATTTGGAAGAATTTATATTAGGTCTTCTATTTATCCTTCTACAGGCATCGTCACTGATGGCACATGGAGCCAGGCTAAGGACACCTTTGATAAGAATTCCTTGTTCCCACTGCCCAAACAGGTAAACCAGTAGTATTTCTTAAAATTAGTTAATTTACTTTTAACTTTATTTTTTTTTGTTGATACTATTACAGGTGTTCCCATTCCTCCCCCACCCTTGCTCACTTCCATCCAGCCCCTGCACCCCCTTCCCTCTGCCCATCATCACATTGCTGTCTGTGTCTATGGGCCATGAATATATGTTCTTTGGCTATTCTTTTCACCTTCTTCCATCCAGTCCCCTCACACCCCTTTCCTCTGACAGCTGTCAGTCTGTTCCATGTATCTATGCTTCTATTTCTATTTTGTTTATCGGCTTATTTTGTTCATTAGATTCCACATATAAGTGAGATCATATGGTATTTGGCTTTCTCTGACTAGCTTATTTCACTTAGCATAATGCTCTCCAGGTCCATCTATGCTTTTGCAAAGGGTAAGAGTTCCTTCTTTTTTTATGGCTGCATAGTATTTCATTATGTAAATGCACCACAACTTTTTTTTTTTTTACCTACTCATTTACTGATGGGCACTTGGACTGCTTCTATATGAGTATTTTAATAATTCTCTTAAACTCTTGTTCATCAAGTAAAAAATAAAAGTATAAAATGAAGATTTAGGTCAGTTCTTGTCTAAGTTTCCAAAATATACAAATAGTATAATTTAAGTTAATGAGATTTCATTTCTTAATATAATTAGTCATTTTTACCATACCCTCAATATGAATATATCCATATATCTGCTTTTTGCATAAATTTATCATAGCTGTTACTTAGTTTAGTTGATCCATTCAATTTCTGTGGTAATATAAATATTTTGCTCCATATGCGTGAGAGAAAATAGCAGAAAAAAAACAGAAATAAGAATTAAAATCCAAATATTGCTTTCTTTACAGAAAAATACATGTTTGTTTTCCAAATATGTAACCATATGTTAACTTCATACTTACATAATTAAAGAATGAAAGAACTCTAATACAAACCTGTTTTTTGGCCTCCTTTGAATCTGGATTTCTAATACATCCAGACCACATGGCAGTGAATCTCTTCCCTCAGAGGAATTTTCTCAGGAGACTCTTGACATTTGCTAGGAGTCAGTCCAAGGTGAATATGGAAATGTCTGTAGAGGCTCTTGGCTTTCTTCATAAACTCATTTTTAGTGAGTATTTGCATTTCCTTATTCTACTGTCTTTTAAATTTCCACTTAAAGCTCAATTTCTCACTTGGAAAGCAGAACACTGTTGGGAACACTCACTGGCTGAGACATTTCCCTGAAAACTTTTTTCTTGTGTCTATGTAGAACTGTAACAAACTGGTTTATGTTACATATCTAATCTATTAAAAATTCAAATATATCATTCTTTTAATTTTTTAAATTGAGTTATAATTGAAACATAACATTATATTGGTTTTGGGTATGTAGCATAACATTTCAATATTTGCATATATTGCAAAATAATTTCTAAATAAGTCTAGTTCACATCACCACAGTACATAGTTATCATTTTTCTTGTGATGAGAACTTCTAAGATCAATTTCCTTAGCAACTTTGAAATATATAATACTGTATTATTAACCAGTCACTATTCTTAGATTCCCAAGACATAACTAGGACTTTGTCCCTTTAACCCCTCTTCACCCATTTTGCCTATCCCTAACCCCAGACTTTTTTTAACCGCTATTCTATGTATCTATGAGCTTGTTTTTTGTTTGTTTTAGTTTGGTTTTAGATTACAAATATAAGTGGTATAATATCATATTTGTTTTTCTTTGATTTAATTCACTTAGCACAATGCCTTCAAGGTTTCTCTCCTGTTTTTTAAAATAACAAAATCTCCCTCCTCTTTGTGCATTCATCTGTGGACACTTAGGTTGCTTCCATATCTGGCTATTTAAAATAATGCTACAGTGAACATTAGAGTGGGCTTGTACATATCTTTTTAAGTTGGTATTTTCATTTTCTTCAGATAAGCCTTTTAATTTTGTCCAAAACTTTAGTTTTGTTTACTTCTATTACCAGCATTGGGAATTGGCATACTTTAAAAAATGTGTTGAATTTATTGGGGTGACATTGATTAATAAAATTATATAGATTTCAGGTATACAATTCTATAGGGAATTGGCATACTTTTAAATGACCTTTTCCCCTGAGAAGGATTTTTTTTTTTTTTTTTTTTTTTTTTTTTACATTTAGAGTGTGTAAAAGATTCTGGAGAATTAGAAGTAGGGAACCATAGAGTCTCACTGAGATATGGATACTGAATAGCCTGTTTTTACTATTTGTTAAGTGACTTCTGTACTGTACCTTACAATAAGTATGCTTTAAACTAGTACTGCAGCAAAATATGTATTTCATGTTCCAAAACTTCAGTGTCCTTAGGGCCAAGTCAGAACAGTTGAATGTAAAATATGGAATGCCAAAGGCTTACTATATTGGTGATTAAGTCTTTGGGCCTTTGTATCAGAGTTCATCTGTGTTGTAGCAGATATCGGAAATTCATTTTTATGGTTAATATACTATTATATGCACACACTATATTTTATCATTCATCCATTGGTGGACATTTGGTTTGTTTCTGTTTTGGGGCTATTGCAAAATAGTGCTTTTATAAATATCTGTGTCCAAGTTGCTGTGTGATACCCTGTTTTCAGTTCTTTTTGGAACATATCTAGGATTAGATTGTTGGGTCATGCAGGACTTCTATATTTAACTTTTTTGAGGAACTGCCAAACTGTTTTTCAAATCAGCTACACTGTTTTACATTTACATTTCCCCTAGCAATATAGAATGGTCCAATTTCTCCCTGTCCTGGCCAACATTAGTTATATTCTATATTGTTTTTAATTATGGCCATCCTGGTGGGTATGAAGTGATATTTCATTGTGTGGTGTTTTTTATTTTTAATTCTCAAGGACATGCTTATTGATATTAGAGACTGAGGAAGGGAGGGAGGAAGAGAGAGAAAAACATCGATGTGAGAGAAACATTGACCAGTTGCCTTTTGTACGTATCCTGACTGAGAACTAAACCTGCCACCTAGGCATGTGTTCTGATTGGGAATCAAACCTGTGACCTTCCAGTTTGCAAGATTATGCCCCACCAACTAACCAAGCCACAATGGCCAGGGCTCATTGTGGTTTTGATTTGTGTTTCCCTAGTGACCGATGATGTTGAGTGTCTTTTTATGTACTTAGTCATTTGTGTATCTTCTTTGGTGAAATAGTTTTCAAATCCTTTGCTGATTTTTAAATCTAGTGATTTTTCTTTTTATTGTTGAGTTGTAAGTGATCTGTAGAACAGCTCCTAATTAGATACGTGACTTGCAATTATTTTCACCCATTCTGTGGGTCTTTTTTACTTTCTAGATTGTGTTTCTTGAAGTGCTTTTAATTTTGATGAAGTTCATTTTATGTTTTGTTTGTTCGTTTATTGACTATTAGATTTTTTAATACTCAGCAAAAAAGAAATGAGGAGGAAAAAACTGGAGGCCTTGAGTACAAAATAAAGTTCAAATCTGGATGCAGTGCTTAAGATTCCCTGGGTACCAAATACTAGAAATATTTTCAGAAGTCAAAAACCTGTTAATCTGTTCTCTATCAATTTAATTTAATTTGATTTACTTTTCCAAACATTCTTATAGTGGTTATTATGCCAGTCACTTTTTAAATACCAATGTTAAGTCATTTTATTGTCATAACAAATTTCATAAGGTAGGTATTTTTATGATTTCTATTTTGTAGTAGCAGAAACCGAGGTGGTGCAGAAACGCTAAGTATGACTTGCCCAAGGTCATATACCTACTAAGTGGTGGAACCAGTAAAGAGTTATAACACATATTTTTAAAGGTTTTTTATATCAAATGTGATGTTGATATTAAGAGGTTAAGACTAACCCCTAATTTTAATGACAGAGAAGATGTTTTATGGAACCATGTTTACAATGGGTAGGGCTGCTTTGGAAAATCGGCTGCAATTTGGCTAAGCATCTAATGCCATATCAGTATGTTTTTCAAGTGTTTTATCTCTGGGACTTCATTAAATAGGCTTAATTTTTGTTATTTTAAATTATACTTTGCCTACATAACTTTTAGATATATTTTATATACCTTTCTTATGAGAGATTAGAAATAGTTGCACACACTTATCCATATCTAAGTGGTAATTATCAGCTAACATGATATTATGCATGGAAACTTTTATTATGGCCTACACATTCTTTATATTTATTGGACAACTCATTAAATCCATGAAAAGATATAATTTCATGAACTAAATATTTTACATTAGAAGGAGGAGAGGGAAACTGATGACTCCTGGTATGTGCAGTAATATGAGGCCTATCAACTGTTGAAACAAATCACTTTTACTTTTCAAGTAAAAGTTCATATTTGCTTTTGCCTCCATTCCAGGTAACCCCATAACTATACTTTCCACCTCGAACCTTCAGGTGTTTAGAATTATGAGTATGTTGTGTTTGCCTCCAAATTTTTTCTGTGCTTGTGTACAATACAATAACATATATACATTCACTTTTAATGCATGTGCCCCATTCAAACATCCTTTAACCAATGGGCCAGTGCTCTGGGCCCAAAAGGCCCCAAATATGCAGAATCCTGAAAATATTTACAGAGTATTGTTTTCAATACTGGTGATTTAAAATCTGAGTTCTGGGTTTCTTTTGTTAAAAAATATTTAAAAAATATTTTAATTACAATAGACAATCAATACATTATTTTCAGTTTCAGGTGCATGGCATAGTGGTTAGACATTTACATAATGTATGAAGTGATCCCATAAGTCTAGTACAACTTTACGCCATACATAGTTACTAGCTGAGCTCTAAATTTCCTATTTAAGTCTCATAACAACAGAATTCCCAGAAGATGATGATAGACAGCTAATCCATGGTATTTCGTTAGAGCAGCCTGAGCTAGGACAAATCTCTATGACTTAATTTGGAGGCATGCCCCCATGAAAAGGAAAATGGGATTGTAATGCATATACATTGTCATCCCCCAAAAAGCTT